CAGGTTATTGTCATGCGGCAATGTAGATTTATATAGCTATATGAAGACTGAAGTCATATCGATAGCTTAACTATATTAAACACAATTCTCTTTTAATCCTTGTGCTTAAATTAGCTGTTTAAGTAGATTAGCTACCTCTGCACGTACGAGTGGACGTGAAGTTTCGTGGCACTCCAAACAAAGTTCGCCCCTTACACCTGGTAGCACTTTGTAGTCCGTCCAACGAATACTATGTGTCCGTCAACATCATCGTGCTGGACGTAGAAGACGACAGCTTTCACGTTACATGTAAAGGCTACTCCCATCTGAGTGACTCAGAATGGGAGGTAGTCGGCCGCATGGGTTGCTCATGGGCGAACCCGTTCTCAGTGGCAGTTGGAGTCTCTAAGCAGAGACCAGCAACATGCTGCTATCAACAAGTTCTAACGAGGGGAACTTGCCGTCGAAAGACAGAAGATAGCTTTGCTAGAACAGCAAGGCTCTCATCAGTCGATGGGCGGTCTGATGCACACGCATAAACCCGAAACCTTGAGGATAGATATCTCAAGGTAAAAGGGAACCGATGAAGATTCCCTTTTACGTTGAATCGTCGAGTCACACGACGCCATCAGGGCCCGTCTCATCGAGGGTGACCAGATGTGAGTCACCTTCTCCCTGTCAAATTTGACAGGACGAGCAAAGACTTGGGCTTTGGGGCTTAAGATTCACGACCCAAACGTGTTTTAGTCGTTGACGATCTCGAAGTATCGGCTCAAAGACACGTTTGATCCGCCACGAGCCGAGTCCAGATTACGCTCTGCACTCTTGAGGCTAAAGCAAGGTAAGCGTGATGTGCACGCTTACGTACAACACCTACACTACCTTTCGAGTAGCGTTACAGAAAACCCTGTTGATGAGCACACGCTCATCAACGTGTTCATCAACGGACTTCTAGACGGGCCGGTGAAGACTTACATGTTCCAAGAGAACTTCCGTAAGCTGGAAAAGACGATATCGTATGCGGAACAATAAGACTTCAGCCTGAGACAGTCTCAGGCTAACTCGTCAAACTATCATCCGACAAGACGACAGGAAACAGGAGGTCCTGAACCAATGGACCTCTGTTACATCGAGAGCGAGAACTCTCTCTCTGAGTCACAAGCTAATGGCAAGAAGCCATCGCTGTCAGAAGATTGGGCACTACACTCATGAGTGTAGTGTCCCAAGCACTGCAACACGTCCAGAGATAGGACGTGATGACCGCTGTTGGCCGAGGAAAGGTCCAAGGCGCGGGTCCGATTATGTCGCTAAACCGCGACAGCAAGTCGGACCGCCAAAAAACGGACAGGGTTAGTCGGGGCGGAGCACCCTGCTGATCTAGCAACATCAAGAGAATTTGCAGGACTCTTGACGAAGATTGCTCCCAACACACAGTCAATGTGTGTTACTGCCCCTAGCGATGAGGTGTCTCGCATCACTTTGAAGATCCAAGTGACAAGTGGAATGTCACTTCACGCCCTAGTTGACTGTGGGGCTTCGAATAGTTTTCTTCGACGCCAGTCGCTTAAGGATATTAGGCTCAACTATGTTGAGCGAGAGTTCCCTCCAACGAGGATGACGGTGTGCCTTGCTACAGGCGCATCCGTAACAGTGAACAAACTTGTAGTGGGAATCCACTACACGCTAGAAGGAAAGCAGTACGATGATGACTTCATCGAACTGAATTTGGATGACAAATTTGATGTTATCCTCGGTCCGCCATGACTTAAAAAGTACCAGCCACGGGTCAGCTTTTAGCATCGATCCGTGTAGATTCCTGCCGTTTGTTCATCAGATGGCCATCTGATGAACATTGTGGAGCGTTAAAAAGCGTGTGGATGTACTACTAGTGAGTGCGATGGCCTCACTTGTGGTACGGTCTTTATTACTACTGCACAAGATCACAGTGTAAAAGGCTCCTACACCGTGGAACCAGCTTCCGGAACCTGTGTAGAGACACAGAATGCGCCGAAGGTTCACCACTCCAAGAGATGGAATGGACTGGAACACGGATGCACACCAAAAAGGGTACATCCAAGAAGAGAGTCTAGTGTTATTCAGGATGAACAACACGCTGAAGCGAGATCGACTAAGAGATAGTCGATCGTAGAGCAAGCCCGATTGACTGAAAGAGAGTCTATCGAATAGGACGGGACTGTGGTAGTGCACCCAGAGTCAGAACACGTATTGGAAGAAAGCTCCAACGTTCCTGAGAGTGATAACTCCCGAGAGAGATAAGCTGGGGGTGTGGATCCCCAACCACTTGCGGATGTTTTCCCCAGGAAATCACCGAGACAGTGAATGTCTTGGTAAATGACGGATCAGGTGTAGGCGCTTAAACACTTGATCTGGTTACGCCCCCAAGTCAGCTTCGGAGGTAGTCAACTTGCCAACGCTAGAATCTAAGAAATTCTTGCAAGATATGCGTACTCGACACAGAGGACGAGTACGTCGCCGATATTCGGTCGGCACAAGTGTTTGCTGAGAACGTTAGGGTTCTTATTATCTCACCTATGGACGAAAGTGTCCTTGATGAGAAGACTCGGATCGAGCGATACACGTTGCAATCTTGGAGGTCTTTAAATATAAATTCTTTGTGTAAGGATTTGATCGAATTTAGGAATGTTTTTCTTGAATTCGTGCCATGCGAGCTTCCCAAGGACAAACACACTTGGCATGAGATCGAACTGAAACCCGGTTCGAAATACTGTGTCATGATGCAATGGCCATGACTCAGGAACAGGTCACAGCGATTAACAAATTCTTTTCCGATCGTTTAGCGGCTGGTCATGTGAGGAATCAACATCCCTACACAGCTCTCCGACCTTCCGTGTGCGAAAGGCCACAGGAGGGTGGTGGATAGTGCACGCGTTCAACAGATTGAACGCTTCGACGGTACCGGCTCAAACGCCGATACTGAGGAAGGACGTCATCATAGATGGTATGGCGAAAAAAAGAGTACTATTTTTTCGTACATGGATCTGATGGATGGATTCTGTCAGATCCTCATGCTTGAACGGTACATCTCTTACATAGCAGTGAGCACCCCCAGCGGTATGATCTGGGAGTGACTAGTGATCACAGGGGCTAAGTAACGCCCCCGCAACGTTTAACAGATGTGATACGAATCGTTCGCGATCGGTGCGAGATTTTGCACCGAGTTACTTCGACGATGTCTTCGTCCATAGCCGGGCTATGGATGGAAAGGCGGACGTGGAAGTTCATAGAATACATGTCCGGAAGGTTCTCACTCTAACGCGAGAGCATAAGTTGTTCGGGAACCTCAGTAAGTGTTAATTTCGCAGCGAACGAAATGCCTCATCTTGGCTGCATCGTGGGTGAAAACGGCGTGCGCCCTGATCCAGAAAATATTGAAGGCTATGAGCGACTGGTCTGTGCCAGTCGACGTCAAGGAATTTCGAAAGCTCCTTGGCTTGGAGGCGTACTTGCACAAGTACTCGCGCAACTACGCCGAGATGACCGTACATCTCTCTCGTCTGCTAAAGAAAAACGAGAGGTGGTCATGGAGTGCTGAGTGCCAGCACTCCTACGAAGGTATCAACAAAATCTTAATACAAACGCCTGTGTTAGCAATTGCAGACCAGGATAGGCCATTTCAAGTAGTTAATGACGCCTGCGATTTTGCAACCGGCTGCGCTTAATGCAGTATGACTCAGACGGCGTTGAGCGCGTCAACTGTTATCAATCGCGTCAGCTGCAAGCAGCTGAGCAAAAATTAATTTGGTGCATGACAAGGAACGCCTCGCCATGAAATATGCACTGGCTAAGTTTTGGGTATATCTCTTAGTAGATAGGCCCTTCATCGTTCATACCGACCATGCGTCATTAGGCACGGCCGTAAACAGTCCACACCTCTCGCAACGAATGGCGAGGTGGCTGTCTTTCTTCGCGGAGTACAACTTTTCCGTCGGGTATCAACCAGGACGACATAATGTCGTCGCTGATGCTCTTTCGTGTCGGCCCGATATTGAGCCGACTGCTCTACCCAACAATAGGGGTGATTCCACTGTTGCAAGATGATCAGTGAGTGTTCCGTCGTCGAATCTGCTCGACGACGTGCGGTAAGCATACGCAGAAGATGAGTCTCTTCTGCGATCTATGGATAACATATCTAATCCATGCAGTCAAGCTTTGAAAAGCTTGTCGTCTCAATACCGCTCTTTAACCGAACGGTATTCGGTTCGTGATGGACTGCTGCACTATCGAACAGTCAACGGCGACACACCTTGTGTCGTAGTTCCCGCTCATACTGATTTGCGACTGCGCGTCATGTATGAATGTCACGATGCCCCACCAAGTGTAAATCGCGGTAGGGAAAAGATTAACCTCACGGTGAGTCGTGACTTCTACTGGCCCCGCCAGTATGAGTTTGTGCGCAAATACATTCGTGCTTGCAAAGTTTGTCAACGGGTGAAGCCTAGTCCTTTGTCTCGCGCACCCTTGCAGCCTCTAACAATTACGGCATAGTGTTGGCTGTAACGGGGTGAATCGTTACATAACAATTTATAAGAAATTGTTAATAGAATATAACTATAAGAGTTATATTCTCAGAATATTGTCATAAGGACAATATTCTGTAGCACTTCCAAGTAGTTCCTAATTGGTTGATATAGGCCATTATATCAACCAACGAAGACGCGCCACGACAGACGCACGCAATGAGTGGTGAGCAGATAACTGATTTACACATTTGTATTTAGACATAGTTAGATGAAGATAAATAGTGATTTATTAACCGACATTAACTATTATAAATACAGTTCTACTTTTTACTCTAACCAAGTACTCGCTTCTTCTTACCGTCTTCCTCTGCACGTACGAGTGTACGTGAAGTTACGAGGCACCGCCTTATTCTGTTATCAGAATAAGTAGCTTGTACTGTCACCAGTACAAGCTTCAGGGTGCCCCGTTACACCTGGTAGCACTTCGTAGTCCGTCCAAGGACCGCGTTCACATCCAACATGAATATGTTGGATGATGAAGATGACCAAAGCTTTCACGCTACGCGTGACGGCTACTCCCATTTGAGCGATGTCGAATGGGATGCGGTTGAACGAATGGGTTCGACCATGGGCATCCATGCTGTTAGCGTCATGCTAGAGGCTCTCAATAGAGATGCCCAACATGCTACTATCGCCAAGTTCATTCAAAATGAACTTGACGCAGAACGCGAGAAAGTAGCCTTGCTTCACCAACAAGGTTCTCAACAAGCAGAGTTGTTGAGAGAACAAGGTGCTCAACAGTTTGAACTGTTGAGACAGCAGCCGGCTGCTGCTGGCGGGGGGTCGATGCACTCGCGTCGGCCCGAGACTTTGAAGATTGACATCTCAAAGTATAGGGGAGTCGAAGAGGACTCCCTCTTGAGATGGTTCGTCGAATTGGATGACGCCATAAGGGCGCGTCGCATCGACGACGGGGATATGCAAGTTGCATTTGCCCAGTCAAATCTGGCAGGACGTGCCAAGACTTGGGCACTGGGGCTCAAGCTGCACGACCCATACGCGTTTGGGTCGTTGGAAGTCTTCAAGTCGCGGCTCAGACAAACGTTTGAACCGCCTAGAGCTGAGTTCAGAGCTCGAACCGAACTCTTGAAGCTCAAGCAGGGTAAGCGTGATGTGCACGCTTACGCTCAACATATACGACATCTCACGAGTTGTATAAGTTCCAATCCGGTGGATGAACACACGTTGGTTTCGGTGTTCATGCAGGGTCTTGCGGATGGTCCCGTCAAGACTCACCTGTTCCGGCTTGAACTAGATTCACTAGAACAAGCCATTTCAATTGCGGAGCAGGAAGACTTCAGTCTGAGACAGGCTCGCGCCAGCTCGACATCATATCGTCAACCGAGACGATATGACAACGGAGGTCCAGAGCCGATGGAACTCTGTTATGTAGAGAGCGAGAAGGCTCGCTCTACAGGCTACAAGAAGTTGCAGAGATGCAACAGATGTCAAAAGACAGGACACTACGCTTACGAGTGTAGTGCCCCTCGTCCAGTGTCTCGCGACACTGGGCGTAGTGACCGTCCACCCATGAGAAAGGGGCAGGGACGAGGGTCCGCAGTTGGTGCAAAGACGCAACAACGGGATGGACCGTCAAAAAACGGACAGGATCAGTAGGTGCGGAGCACCCTACTGGTCCAGCAACGTCAAGAGAATTTGTAGGCCTCTTGATGAAGGTTGCTCCCAACACACAAACGTTGTGCGTTGCTGCTCTAGATTATGAGATCTCACTCATTACCTTGAAACTCAAAGTGACGAAGAAGTTGTCCCTTCGAGCTCTAGTCGATTGTGGGGCGTCCAACAATTTTGTGCGACGCCAATCGCTAGAAGATGGTCACTTTAAATTCAGTGAATGTGACACACCTCCTACGAGGATGATGGTACGTCTTGCGACAGGCGCATCCGTAACCGTCATGAAGCGTATAGTGAAGATTCACTATACGCTAGAAGATACCCAATACGACGATGACTTTGTCGCATTGGATTTGGATGACAAATTTGATGTCATCCTTGGAATACCGTGGCTCAGAAGGTACGAACCACGGGTAAACTGGCAACATCGGACAGTAACGATGCCTGCCTCTTGTTCATCAGATGGCCATCTGATGAACGTTTTGGAGAGTACACAAGCGTGTGGATGTACTACGAGTGAGTGCGATGGCCTCACTTGTGGTACGGTCGTTAGTACGACTGCACAAAACCTTAGTGTACCAAACGGTTACACTTCGGAGCAAAGTTCCGGCGGCTGTGAGGAAACACAGGCTGCGCCGAAGGTCCACCACTCGAATAAGTCGGGTGGACTGGGACAAAGATGTATCCCTAGAGGGGAACATCTAGAAGAGAAACAATCGATCGCTCAGGTTAAGCGAGACGATAATCCTAGATCGACTGGAGATTCTTTCGTAGAGGATCTCGCTGTGGTTGCGCAACCCCAGCTAGAGGAAGTAAAGGGAATAAGTCCCAAGATTACAAATACGGCGGAAATAAGTTCCCCGAAACCCGCGGGAATAAGTCCCCGGGAAGACGAAGGAATAAGTCCTTCGAAGCCTGAGGGAATAAGTCCCCAGGAAATGACAGAGACATTGAATGTCATAGTCAATAACGGATCATGTGTAGGCGCTTATACACTTGATCTGATTGCGCCTCCGAAGTTAACTTCGGAGATCACTCAGTTGCCAACGCTCGAACATAAAAGATTCTTGCGTGATCTGCGTAGTGGAAAAGTCAAGCAGATCTGCGTACTCGTCGCTGAAGACGAGTATGTAACCGACATAAGGTCAGCAACAGTGTTTACTGAGAACGAGAGAGTTCTCAGTAGTTCATCTATGGACGAGAGTGTCCTAGATGAAAAGACACGAATTGAGCGATATGAGTCCCAATCATGGGAATCGCTCAAGGAAAATCCTCTCTATGAAGATTTGGTTGAATTCAAGGATGTATTCCCTGAAACTGTTCCGTGCGAATTACCGAAGGATAAAGGTATTCGACACGAAGTCGAGCTTAAACCAGGCTCGAAGTACTGTGTCATGAAGCAGTGGCCACTGCCTCGTGAACAAGTACTTGCGATCGACAAGCTCTTTGCCGATCGTTTAGCAGCGGGCCATGTGAGGGAATCAACTTCCCCACATAGCTCTCCGACCTTCTGTGTGCGAAAAGCAACAGGAGGGTGGCGGATAGTGCACGCGTTTAACAAATTGAACGCTGCAACGGTACCGGCTCAGACGCCGATACCGAGGAAGGACGTAATCATTGATGGTATGTCAAAGAGTACCATCTTTTCGTCCATGGATTTGATGGATGGCTTCTATCAAATCCTAATGCGGGAACGGGATATACCCTATACCGCAGTTAGCACGCCTAGCGGCATGCTCTGGGAATGGCTAGTAATGCCACAAGGGCTCAGTAATGCCCCTGCCACGTTCAACAGGTGTGTATCACATCTGTTGAGGCCAGTACGAGAATTCGCGCCGAGTTATTTCGATGACGTATTCATCCATAGTCGAGCTATGGATGGAAAGTCGGACGTTGAGGCTCACAAGTACCACGTCCGACAAGTTCTTACAATCACGCGAAAGCATCAATTGTATGCAAACCTCAAGAAGTGTATATTTGCAGCAAGCGAAATACCACTTCTTGGGTGCATCGTTGGTAAGAACGGTGTACGTCCTGATCCCGAAAAGATCAAGGCGATCACCGACTGGCCCGTGCCGGTCGATGTCAAAGGTCTTCGAAAATTCCTTGGGCTAGCGGCGTATTTGCACACGTATTCACGCGATTACGCCGAGATGACTGTACACCTCTCTCGTTTGTTGAAAAAGAACGAGAGGTGGTTATGGAACGCTGAATGTCAACGCTCCTTTGAGGGTATCAAGCAGAGCTTGATACAATCCCCAGTCCTAGCAATAGCCGATCAGGACAGGCCATTTCATGTGGTCTGTGATGCCAGCGATTTCGCAATCGGCTGCGCATTAATGCAGTACGACCTTGAAGGCGTTGAACGCGTCGTCTGCTATCAGTCGCGTCAGCTGCAACCAGCTGAGCGGAACTATCCAGTGCATGACAAGGAACTCCTTGCCATGAAGTATGCACTCGCGAAGTTCAGAGTCTATCTATTAGGAGATAGACCCTTCGTTGTTTACACTGACCATGCGTCCTTACGCACGGCAGTGAACAGCCCGCACCTTTCACAACGAATGGCGCGGTGGTTGTCATTCTTTGCAGAATACAACTTTACGGTCGAGTACAAACCAGGACGACTTAATGTCGTCGCTGATGCGCTCTCACGTCGTCCCGACTTTGAAACAGTCGCGAAACCCAACAGTGAGACAGTCACTGTTGCGGTTATGACGTCCTCAGTTCCATCTACAACGTTGTATGATGATGTGAGGCGGGCATACGCCCAAGATGGTGAGATAGTGAAGTTGTTGACATGTCTCTCCCAACCATCTCGAGAATCGTTGAAACGATTGTCGTCTGCGTATCGATCTGCATCAGATCGATACACTACTCGTAACGGTTTACTGTACTATACAGCCGTTTCTGGTGACACACCACGTGTTGTCATTCCAGATGATACTGATCTGCGTTTGCGGATCATGTTCGAGTATCACGATGCTCCTATAGGAGGACATCGTGGCCGTGAGAAAACATATCTCACGGTAAGTCGAGACTTTTACTGGCCCCGCCAGTATCAGTTGTGCGAAAGTATGTTCGCGCATGCGAAGTCTGCCAACGAGTGAAGTCAAGTCCTTCACTGCGTGCACCTTTACAGCCTCTACCGGTTCCGGCTGAGTGCTGGGAATCCATCTCAATGGATTTCGTCTTCGGGTTACCCAAAGACGCACGCGGGAATACGGGTATTCTCGTATTTGTTGACAGATTCAGCAAAATGGTACACCTCGTGGCTGTACCAGAGACAATCACGGCAAGTGGCTGTGCTTGTGTCTTTATTGACACCATCTTCCGACTTCATGGGTTGCCCCGTGAACTCGTATCAGACAGAGATCCACGCTCTACAGCTGATTTCTGGCGTTCCGTGTTCAAATCACTCGGAACGCGCTTGAAGATGTCAACATCTGATCATCCAGAGTCAGATGGTCAGACGGAACGTGCCAATCGTGTCCTTGAAGAGATACTTCGAGGATACGTACACTCCTTTAAGAGTTGGAGTGAGTTTTTGCCGATGGTAGAGTTTGCCATCAACAACTCGGTGCATGCGTCCACGACACATACACCGTTTTACGTGAATGGCTTGCGCCATCCGCGTGTACCCACCTTACTAGAGTGTAACTCTGGTTTAAGGGGGAGGGACTCGCGCGAGCAAAAACCGATTTGGTTCACGCTCATCACGCTCTGACGAAGAAGTCATTGCGTTTGATGCCGATATCGATAACATCAATATCGAAGAAGATGATGCCAGTGAGAGTGCGGAAGCCCTCACTGAAGACAATGATCCCAGTGAGAGTGCGGAAGCCCTCACTGAAGAAAAGGTTGTTGTCGCTGCAGTGCGCTCACAGCACACTGAAGCTAACGAGTCATCAGATGAGTTCATACTGGCTCGTGAAACGGTAGTCCGTTTTGTGCAAGACTCCATCGCCGAAGCGGTGGATAAGCAAAAGCAAAACGCTGACAAGAATGGAAGGGCAAACACTCTTTTATTTAATAAAGGTGACTTAGTCCTACTGTCTACGGTTAATCTACCAAAGCATGTAGTGACTAACTTGGGTAGCAGTAAACTACTACCCAAGTACATTGGCCCATTTCGTGTATTGCACCGCCTAGGCAATGCATACACGATCGAGTTACCACGTAAGATGCGAACGCATCCCACGTTTTACGTTGGTCGGCTTAAGCCGTACCACCAGTACGCTGCTTCTTCCGATGAAGAACGCCCTTGCGCTCAAGCATCTCGCAGAGAGCCTTGTGCTCCCGATGGTGGGCATCAACAAGGGTCTGAAGAGCAGTTATCTCAGCCCGAGACCGATCAACAATCCCACGAGCTACCCTTAGCTCGTCACGAAGAGATGTCAGAGATCTCTCGTTCTCAAGCTGAGCAAAGGCAAACTCAGCTCGATGCTTCGAGGCAGTGTCCACCATCTGGAGACGCCTATTCCGCTCATGCTCGAGATCGTCGCGTAACCCTTGCGTTACGCGATCAAAGAAGCTCTCGGGAACACACCGATCCACATGATCGTGTGGAGAGCGTCTTTCCTCCTCCTCCACCTCCATTAAAGGACTCTCGCGGTGGCCAGCGCTATCTAGTAGAGCAGCTGTTGAACCACCGCGACGTGAACGGACGTCGAGTTACCTCGTCCGGTGGCGCGGCTATCCCCCGTCCTGGGATTCTTGGGAGCCCCGCTCCCAATTGATGGTTGACGTACTGGGTCTGGTCGAGCAGTACGACGCGACACATCCTGTGCCGCAGAAGGACCGCCGGAGAAAGTCTTCCCGGCACGGTCGTAAAGGGATTTCAGGTTGTCAATCCCTTCGTACATCTCAGTAGAGACACGTACGCGCCACCACGGGCTGGTAAGGAGGTAAGCCTCCTTAGGTGCTCGTGCAGAGTTGTTCACACAACATGGGCACGAGTCTCCCCAGGAGAGGCAGGGTAATCCTTT